CCCTGCACATCCATTTGTTTCAGAGGCAACACACGGCCTCATTTTCAACAACAGCATGTGCAGAATATTGGAAGAAGAGTGGCCAGAGAAGACAGGAATGGGGAGGCTGTGCTGCCATAAAGGGAACAAGCAGGCTGACGCAGCTTTGTAGGTATGCCTGCTTTCCAACAAGTGAGTTCATTTTCTGATCACATTTAGTCATGCCTCTATAGAAATAGCCTGCATCATGTTCCTACAGAGACAACCTGAATAACTTCTTTAGAAGCCCCAAATAAATAAATAAACAAATAAATCACAAAACCACAACTTCTTTACCACTGGCATTTACCTCTGACAGCTCGTGAGGGCATTTTATAAATCCAGAAAGAGACAAGGAACAGCAGATCCCTCAAGCAAGTAATTGACAGAAAAAGAAGAGCTTGTCACCTGGGAGAGCTGGAAGCCTTGCATTTCAGTTACAGTTTACTTAGCTTTCGCTGGGTCTTGATTGGCTGGCGGTTTTCTGGAGTTCCCTTTGAGCAGATGTTGTCTAGACAGGGATGGTGAGGACATACTCTGTATTAGTCACTTCTGCAGTGGAGGGGTTTGTTTTTGGCTTTGCCATATAGACGGAGATGCAGGGGGATGACCTAGCACTCATGCTGGAAAACTGCCATGGCCGTCAGAGCTGGAAGTCCCCCTAGAGCCGGGCCGCTCTAACCCGTCTTTACAAACATGCATGCCATGTCTGCTCCTCAGGAATCCTTCCCTGCCTCCACTCCACTCTTGTCCTCGCCATGTTGAGTCAGGGGCCTCCATGATCTGCCTGCCTTCCACACCAGGCAGGACTCTGAGACCAGAGCCTTTGACCTTCTGTCTTTGTGTCCCAACGTCCTGCACAGTGCCTGGGCTGGACCGAGTGCTAGTAAATGTTTGATGGACCATGAGGACATAAGACCCAGCTGACCAGATTCCAGTAGTACATTTTCTATTCCCCAGGCTACTTCACCTCCAGCGTGCTCACTCAGAGCACCCCAATACTGATCCTGAAGGAGTGAGCCACTTCTGTTATTGGGCATCTGAAGTTTATTAGGTGCTCACTGATAGCCATCAATTGTAGATAGGCTGAAGTGCAGGGAAATGGCTGCCTGCGTGAAGTAAAATTCAATAAAACCGCATTTTAAGTGAAAAATCAGTATAAACACCAGGCTTCTTTGCCATGGAAACAGAGGTTGCTTAGAAACTGCCTAACGGCGAGTTCTAAATTTTTTAAAGTCAAGTTATCATTTAAGCTACACGGCCCTACAGGTTATTGAGAGATAATCACTCGCCTCAGGACACAAGAAGGCATGAGGCACAGCTGAGTGCCTCCCCCTGCTCTGGGGACCAAGTAATCTCTTGATAACTGTGCTCCCCAGAGCCACTCATTTGGGCCTAGGGGAAGGAGAAAGAAATTTTTGTTCAGGAGTTAAATAGTGTACATATATTTTTTTAAAAGTGTTTCTCTTTGGGTTTGAAAAGAGATGGAACTGGCCATTTGGCATGTTCAACAGCCATCTCTGCCATGTTTCAAGATACATTAGGAACATTTTCCAGGCAGTTACCCAGTCACTTGAAAGCAGAGGTCCTGCCTTTGTCTTCTGGCTTTCAATTATGCAGAAAGCCTTAGGCTCCCCTCCTCCCTGGGATACCTCATCCCAGTACAGGGTGTGCAGGAACTGGCCCCAGAACAAAGTGGTATCAGACTTCTGGGTCCTCAGGCACAGCTCCCAGGGGCAGAAGCCAGCAAAGGTCCAGGTTCAGAATTTGGCAGTATGTAGAGTTCAGCAGGTCGTGTCGAGCAAATGCGCAGCTGTGCCTGCCAGCCATCTGGTTGCACGGCACAATGTTTGCTCCTCACCTCAGCCGTGTGGAGGGCAAAGCAGACCGCATTCATTTCTTCCTAAGAACAAGTCCAGTTAGAACTCCATTGCCTGAGAATTGGAGCCCCCACCAAGTTAGTGCGGAGGAATTATGAGCGAGACACAACACAAATGTTTTGCCCTTTTCCATTTCTGAGAATTATCCGTGTTACAGTGGTGCTGCTAGAGTTGGTAGTGATAATTACTCCTTAGACACACACACAGATTCCCTGTCTCTCTCTGGAAGGAATAGTGTTTTCATTATACACTTCAAAGTGTTTCCTGTACTTCCTCTTCTCAGAACCTGAGAACAAACCTGGGAGGAGGGTAGGTTGACTGTGATCAGCCTGTTTTGGAGAAAGAGGAGGCATAACAATTTGCTTTGAGCCACAGAGGCGGAAAGAACTTGCATTCCTGCCTGCCATTCTGGGATGTCCATCCCTTTAAGAACAAAGAAACAGGACCCAAATTAATTCTCCCAAGAGTTTGGCTCTGTTTAATAAGAGAAGGTGAACTTTGTACATGTTGTTTTCCTTTGCTTTCCTGTAAGCACTTAATTTGGAGATCTTACAGCGTAAAGAGTGGCTTCTTTCCTTTTTTGCCAGGGAATACAACATCCACGTTCAGCATGTTTAAAAGGGTTCTGAAAATGAACATTGCCATGTTTTCATGCCACGTAAGGCAGAGCAGAGCTGTGACTGAGCTGGGCTGTGGTACCACTCTGCTGGATGTTGTCCAGATAAAAATACTTCAAGCGAGAATGCCGTGCGATAGCTTGAGAAATTGTTCCAGTTCTTGAAATCAAGTGAAATCATTTGCATTCTAACAGTCTTTGGCACTAGGGAAAACTGTCAGCTCTGTCACGTGTAAATAGAAATCTGCTTCCCATTTCTGGTGGGGTTTTTTTTTAAATCATTTCCCTTGCCACTCTAATTATCAAAGATATTTTTGTTTTTAAACAAAAATTCTCTCCCACGCAGGCCCCATCTCCTTTCTGCGGTGGAGTGGAAACGATGAATTAGAATATTCTAATCACTTCTGCAACCACTGTACAGGTTATAAACACAAGATTATCTTAAGCAAAGAAAATTTAACATTGTGTAGGCACAGAACAGGCCTGGAAATTTTCCAAAGTGCCCCCTCTCCCCCAGTTGCTTCCTTTCCCTTCTTAGCATATGTCTGTGAAATGCAAGGAAGAAAGAAAAACTAGCTTTACAGAGGTAAGACCTGAATCCCTTGAGGACGTTAATTTCAGAACAACAAAATTAAAAACCAAATGTTTAGTTTTGTGTAGCAAGCATTTAATTTCCTATTAGGTGCTCAGAAGTATATTAGAGAGTCTAGGAATAATTGTCAAGAAAAAGGTATGATCCATCAAATAGCTCCTGTGTACAACTGTCCATCAGTGTCTGGGGAGGGTTGGTTCTGGGATCCTTCACAGATAGCATATATTAAAATCTGAGGGTAGTCAAGTCCCTTATATAAAGTAAGATAATATTTGCATAAAACCCTCCTGTATATTTTAAATCATCCCTAGATTTCTTACAGTACCTGCTGCAGTGTCAGTGCTACACAAATAGTTGTTATCTGTACTGCTTAGAGGATACAGTCAAGAAAAACAGGCTGGGGCTGGGGATTTAGCTCAGCGGCACAGACACCTGCTTTGCAAACGCGCGTGGTTGTGAGTTCGATCTCTGGTACCAAAAAAAAACTGTCTGTACATGTTCAGTACAGACACATTTTTCTTTCATATATTATCAATCCATGGTTTGTTGAATACACAAGCAGAATCCTCGGGTGTAGAGAGCTGACTATTCTGGTTAGTAGGGAATCATGGGTTTTGATAGGTGTTTTAATCCCTTAGCAAAACCCTGAGTTATGTACATCTGCCTTTTTTTTAAAATAAGGAAACAGACTGAGACAAGTTGGATAATTCTATGTCATGATAATATGGATCCTGTTAACGTTCCTTGTTCCTTGATTCTAAGCTGCCAGCCTCTTCTCCAGCCAGATCCTTTCACAGGATGTAATATGCCAGAAAAGCAAGTCGTCTTAAGTCATTAGTGAACCGCCTAACATAAATCACCAATTCCTAGTGAGACAAGAACCTGTCTCTAATCAGCAGGTAATTTCTGTGTGCCCTCAGAGAGTTTATGTTGTGAGGAATAGAGATAGCCAGTGAAAATGCAGCTCATACATGCAGAAAAGGTGTCCAGAATGAGAAGGGGCAGTGCACCTGGACAAAGGGAAAGGTAGCGCCCCTGGCAGGTGATGGGTGGGCTGAGGTGGCAGGTCTCATCCTTCCTGGGACTGAACAGCCAGGACTGTGAGGTTTGCAGTGGGACCATCCATGACAGTGGCCCTGAGCACATGACTGATGGTTCAGAAACAGGAGTTGGACAGATAAGAGACAAGGATTATGACCACCAAAGTGCAGGCCAAGATTGAGAACCTCACCTTAGAGGTGTGTGGTAGCCCCAGGCCCTTGTGCTCTGTCTGTGTTGTGGGTAAGACACGGTGCTGTGCCTCTACACAAGATCATGGGTGGGGCTCATCTGCTCCAGCCCCTTCCAAGAGACAAGTGTCCCAATAAAGCCAATTCCTCTGTATAGAGGGCCTCCTGCAGGAGCCATGAGCATCTGTCCGACCCACCAACCACCCATCACTCTTGGTGCCCAGAAATGGTCCAGCTACAGAGTTCAGCAGGGACCTGGGAGCTGGGAGCGCACACAAGGACCTGAGACAAAGAAGAGGAGTGGCTTGCCATGTGCCATGCAGGACAGGAAACCCACTCCAGGCCTGATCTGGCTCTGCATGCATCCTTCTGCTCCCCACTCTTCCTGAGCCAGTAGTGAAGGGTGGGCCTTGCCATTTTTCTTTTTTTCAGAAACTCAGCTTTACACTCCAGAACTCAACCTGTGCCTTTGCCAAGAGCTTGTTTAATGTCAATATTGTTCTGCCGAGACTAATTACTATTTCACTCTGTGTCAATGGATACGAAACTGTTTACCTCTATTTCCGTTAGGCTTTGGGACCATCCTAATGGGCCTGTCTTAGCAGCTAAAGTAAGTTTCTTCTGGTGTTTGAAGTGATTTGATATTATTATCAATTTCTCCTCAGATGGCTCAGTAAACAACCTCTAGGACACGACCACACCGACTCCCCGCTTTTCTCCCTCCTTCGCCCCCTCCCTCCCTCTCCACTTCTCCTACTCACTCCCCATCCTTCTCCACAGCGTCTTCCAACACTTGATGAAGGTAAATCCGGACTCTACCTGGTTCCTGTTGAATGAGCTTTATTGCCCCCTGCAGCTCACACCCCCTCACCCCAGCCTCCACCGGGTGCACCTGCGGGGGCCCTCTGGGCAGCAGAACCCCTACATGGCCAACGTGCTCTACCTGCTCCAAGAGCTGCAGTGCCCACCCCTGCCTGATGGGCAGGCCCTGCCTCCTGCAAAGAGCACCCTCCACTGCCAGCCAGAAGTTGGACCAACTGTACCCCGGCAGCAGAGATGAATGTGAAGGTGAATTAGACAGCCAATCGATTGATCGATCACACAACTGCTTGGAAATTGGATTGAAGGAAAGTAGCTGACTGTTATTTATATTTCATTCCTCCAGTTTTCAGATGACATTGTCTCAGGGCTCTAAGGGTTTAACTCCTTAGCATACCATCTCATTGGCCCTACCTGCCTCATAGCATACACACACACACACCCCTGCTTGATTAGGGATCAGTGGAGCCAACCTGAGCGCTGGGTGTGTCCAGACCGTGTTTAAGTGTCACACATCTAAGAACCTTAAGAATGTAGCCCTGCCATCACAAGTACATAAGGTGGGTCCCTCTCCATCCAGACATCGATCCCTTCTAATAGTAAAATGGAGCTAATTTGTTGTACTTGACCTGTTCTTTGGAAGAAAATGAAGTAAAGATACTTCTTGAATAAAAAGTGTGTTCAAGAACTCACTTTGAAGTTTATTATTTAAATGGGGTGATATTTTTAAATGAGTTTATGTTCTTAAATGAGTAACAAAGAACTTGAATGAGTAACAAAGAAAATCCAGGGCAGAACAGAAAACAGTGAAAAATACGTCTTCCCTCCCCATTTCCCAGCCATCTGGTTTCCTTCCCTATGGCAACCACTCACAGCAATTTTTCAGATATCTTTTAAGTAGGAGATTAATTTCTTAATTGGTTACCATGGGTATATAAAGAAGCCTGTATACCCATATCCTGGCTTCACTGGCTAATAACTTGTGGCTAGTCCTGCTCCATTTAGACCACTGCTTATTTGCTTATCCCTCCACCCTCCTGCATTGTCTTCAAGCAAATTCTAGATTTCTTATCCAAACTTTTAGGCATGGTTTTATTTGTATTTTACAATTCTAAGATCTGAACCCAGAGCCTCACTGTGCTGGGCCAAGCGCACTACTGAGCTATATCCCTGGGCCTTTTTTTGACACAGATTTTGCTGAGTTGTGCAGGCTGTCTGCAGACTTGTGATCCTCCTGCCTCAGCCTGAGCTGGGAGCTGGGAGTATTGGTGTGTGCTAACACACCTCTCTCTCTCAAACTCTTGAAAATGTATAACCACAATACCATCATAATACTTTTTGAAAGCTAATGATGATCCTTTAGCATTGTCAAATATTAAGTCAGTGCCTCATTTTTCCCAGCATGTTTGAATCAGGATCAAAATTAAGTTATGCACATTGCTGGTATTAATGGGTCCCTTAATAAATCTTGGTGAATTTACAGATTCTCTTTTCCTTGTAAATTTTTTGGTGAGGAAACAAGGCCATTTATCTTACAATATTTCTCACTGTCCGGATTTACTGATGGCATCCCTGGAGGGTCATTTCATGGGTTTTTCCTGTCACCTGTATCTGCTGTAAATTGGGATACAGAGCAAAAATCTTGAGTCAGATTTGGGTTTTTTTCTTGGTTCTGTTTCGACCTGGTCCTTCCTGGATCCTGTCCCTCCTCTCAGGAGGTAGTGGCATTAGCAGCCGTTAGAGTGTTCTGTATCTCCGTCTGCTCTTTTGGGTTTGCTCGATACTGCTCTTCTAATTCCACCATGCGGCTTACATTTAACCACAGTGCTCATGTAAAGGGAACTTTCCCTTCTTCAACCATGTGCTATCCTGTAACTATTGTTTGTGTAGAAAAGGATTCTTGACTTTTTTCTGAGGAGTTTAACATGATGATTATGCAAATGTAAGCACATAGCCACACTGACACACACACACACACACACACACACACACACACACACAGTCTGCAGAATCCCGAGAACGGTAACGGTAACGCTTCACCAGATGCTCAAGGATTAAGACGTCAGCTAAACAAGTCTTCCAGTAGCATAGATAATTCCCAAGCTCTGAAAAAAACCCTGAAGGTGGTCAGCATATGGACATACTGGGTTAAGGATCTCCAGCTAGTTCTGGAGAGGTCTGATGATTTCCTGGAAGGGCCTGCCTTGCCAGGATAGTGGGATGTCCAGCTCTGGTCTAGTTGGTGGCATCCTCACTCTGCCAGTGAGCTGTTGGAGGCCTCTCTTCTCTTTGGGCTTCTGTTTCCCAGCTAGAAAAGCAGAGAAATTCGACCAGATGGAGCAGTCCTAATCTTTGGGGTCCTAGTTACCAACAGGCATGGGCTGAAATGAGGACCCTCTCAGAGCTCCTCTCCTTGTGTCACACAAGGGGGCACTACAGAGACTACCTGTGACCCTAAGTGGCCCCAAACTAAGACATCCCCCAGCCAAGCATGTGCTTTCATTTAGCTCTCCCAGCTTTGAAGTTCCAGGATGATCTCCTTTGGGAAGGGAGGAAAAGTGCCTCTAACTGAGAGATTCACAGCATTGTTCCTAACTCCACTGGGGACACAAAGTGATTGGCTAATTCAATCGCTTGGCCCTGACAAATGAGAAAACAAGTCAGAGAGGTGGCCTGACTTGTCAAGCATTACATAGCTGTTCCCTTCAAGATCAAAGCAAGCTGCCTTCTCACGATGGCTGGGTGTGGCAGGCCGTGGTGGTGTTATGAGCTGCAAGGGCAAATACACTCACACATCCTGACAAACAGGCCCTAGGAAAGCACTCCAGGAGGTCATGAGCACAGCTGGCTTTGCCTTGGTGTCCCACCTCTCCTTAAAGAGTTAAGGTGTCCTGAGTTGCTTCCCTATTCCTGAAGCCAGATTGTTGCATTTGATTTAGAAAAAAAAAAAAAACTAATTAGAGCACCTCTCCAAATATATGGAGACAGCTTTAATTTTGAGCCTGTTTAGCTGACTCAGTCCAGGCCTTCTTAACAGGCGTCTCACAGTCCTCCTTCCTCTCTTTCAATTTTCTGGGACGGGAGGGCTGCTTCCTCCCTCCAGTTGGGGGAGGCATGAGTATGGCTGTGGCTGGACTTCAGGGTAGGTAAAGGATGAATGGGTAGAAGCCAAAACATGCTGAATGTCAGGTGGGGATAGTTGAGCTGTGCTCTGCAGGCAGTAGAAGGTTCCTGGAGGATTCAGGAAGGTGTAGAGCCGGCTCCAGGGCGTCCTGTGACAGTGGTGAGAAAGGGTCAGCTGCAATCCTTAGAAGCCTCCATACTGTGAAAGCACGAATGGTTTGGAGATCATCAGAGCTGGGGTTGCTTTCTGACTCTACCTCTGTCGACTGCATAGCCTTGGGCAAGTCATTTTACTCGAGATTGATTGTCCCGTCCCTGAAAATGGAGTTACTGTCTTTGCTTCTTCGAACAGCTGCATCCGGAGGAATAAATGCTGTAATGTCTATAAAGCAACTATCTCAGTGCCTGGGGCTCTGCCTCCTTCCCAGATCATTGCCTGTGGCTTTATCAAGGAAGCGCATGTTCCTCCAATTTAGCTGAGGAAGTTTATAGTTAACTCTCAGCTCGACTCACTCAGGAGCTAAGGCAACTCACAGTAATGAGTGAATCAAAGAAGTCCTCTAGGAGGAGGTGAACTCCTGGAGGACAGGTAGACTTGGCAGGCAGCGAGGCTTAAGGGCGTTCCAGACTCCTGAGTTAAGGCACGCAGGCCTGTCTGGTAGGTGTCTATTCTTCGTGGCTCCTGCCTGTCTTTCGATCCCACCTTCCCTGGTCGCCTTCATTCTCCTGCAACCTCTCTTGATAAAGCATCAACGATGGCAAACCCGCAGCAGTTCCAGGAGTGTATTCTTTCAATTCAACACATGTAAGGGAGGGTCCAGGGAGTTTCAGACCAGGCTGAGCAACGTGGTAAGACCTGTCTCCGAAAAGAAAAACACCAAGGAGAGTGTGCTCCTCCTGGCAGCACCAGCTAAATTTCCAGGATCTGCTTCCGTCAACTCAGCCTGCTCTTTGTCCAGCTTCAAACCAAGCATCGTCTGTCTACAAGGGTTGCCAGCAGACATGCCCTGGAAAGCAGCAGACAGGGGATCTGTTCAGCTTTGCAGGGCGTGGGTCTCTGTGTCAAGTTTGATTTTTTTTTCTTTTTTCTTTTTTTTTTTTTTCTAGAAAATGTGAAAAGGATTTTTAGCTCATAGGCCCAACAAAAACAGATCTGTGGTTTGCTTCCTGTTCCCTGCCCCAAAGACAAATCCCGATGGACAGCATTCCATGGGCAGGCCTGGAGTAAGGGCCAGCTCACCCTAACCATATGGAGAAAGAGTCATTGTGATATGGTTGCCCCAAAAGGAAGCTCTGTATTTTGCTACCAGGAAGAAAAAAAAAAAAAACAAAGATGCCAGGGTAGGGAGGAGAGAGGATTGGTGGTCACCAGCCTGCTTTTGTGGCCTGACAGTCTGGGGGTGGGGGTGTATGTTGAGCCCTTTCTGTGCTGAAACCAGATTTATGGAGGGTCTCAGCCTTAAAAGCTCAAGAAGTTAGTCTTAGAAGGTTCTTGAACAGGTAATGTAGTGAAAGCATTTTAGGAATATTCATCTCGTATGGGAGAAATTGGAAGGGAGAGAGACTGGCAATGAAATTGTGTTTCTGAAAGTCCCAGGACGAGAAAATGTACCTCTTCCATCAACCCCAAACTGTTTGACATGCCGTGGTTCATGAGCAACTTGAGGCACATAAATATGTGCTTTAAAGTTTAAAAGTAAGAAGTGAGATGAATGGAACGTCTGATGAGGCTTCCTCTGGCTCCATCAGGAGAGTGCAGGAGCCCTGGAAATGATTTTCTGCAGCTCCAGCTGTGATGAACAATGCAGAGTCCCTCTCCCTTTGTGTGGCTCACCCCAGTCCTTTGCAGCAGGCTTGATTAGAAGCCAAGTGCCCGCGTTGCCTTTCCTCCAGTGTAAGGAATAGAGGCCAAATTTCGGAAAATAATTCTGAATGATGGTGAACTCTTGTCGAAGGGTTGATTGCTTTATAAATGGCATTCTTCTCTCTGCACCCCCCGCCCCACCACCCCTGAAGTTTGGAGGCTGCGGCTTTTCAAATTATGCTTGAAAAGCAGCCTGATTTCCCACAGGAATCATCTCCTCGATTAGGAGCTGTTCTACCTTTTCCGACAGTTCTACCCGGAGTACAAAGCCTGTCTGCAAAGGACGAGGAAGGAGCCGTGCCCTCCGCACTTCAAAGCATTCAGCACCTACTGTTAATGAAATTGTCTCACAGTAGCCATAGCCCAGCATCGGGACTGGCTGAACTGCAGCAGGAAAGGGTTAAAAAGCACTGATGAATGGCTGCCTGCGCCACCCCCTTCCCTCTCCCCTCCTTGTGTAATTTGCCATTCTTTTTGCACAACAGCTCCCGGGGTCTCAACCTGCTCTCTCAATCAGTACCCTCACGTCCTCAGCTTCCTCCCACACAGGCAAGCTCAGAAGTAAGGAAAGCACCTTTCAGAATCTCTAAGGCTGTTTCCAAGGGGAGACTGGGGGGAGGTGGCTGGAGCAGAAGTAACAGGAAAGAGTCAGAAGTTTCTTGAAATAAAGCACTGCATTCTCCGAGGCTCAGGTGTGCAGTGGAG